GTACATGTTGCTTTAAACGCCTTGAGATCTTTGACGGGGCCCTTGGGCCAGAACGGTGGCATCCGAAGAGGACTACTTCCAGTTCTGCAGATGCAAACTTCATCGGGGCTTCCGTTTGAGGACTGCCGTGCAACTGCCAACATGGGCCGTATGTCCAGAAAATGGTGTTGTGAGCCCGAACATTGCAGGACCTGAAAGCCGGCAACACACTTCCATGCAATACACGCTCTGACAGGAAGCATTTCATAAGAGGTCCCAACTGTGTGGATTTCGTGAGGGTCCCGAAACACACGGCTCGCAGCCGGAGGGCAAAGGATTCGTTCGTAAAGCTCGCAAGGCTGATCACGACGGCGTCGTCTGGATCTGTCTGAAGCTCCCGCAAGAGAGACACCTTGAACGCATGGCACCGGGCACAAGTTCAGCTTTCCGCTCACTTTCATAGACGGAACCCAAAAGGCCAAGTGGAATATCACCAACTCCCGCACACGGCGAGGAGTTGCCAAATGGGGAGTGTAGACAAAGGGATAGCTGAATGACGCAAGTGATTTGCCCCTCCTCAAGCCGTTCTGAGTCAAAACGGGTCCGCAATCCTCCCCCCTAAGCCCTAAACCTTAGCCCGAGATCAGTCTCAACGTTTTGCTGACGTTTCCGAGGCTCAGGTCTCAGGAAGCAATTTCACGTAAGGGTATTTTTGCAAATTACCAACTCCCCCGTTATCGGTTCTCCCTCATCCACCAAGTAAGGAGGAAGGCCCGGACTAGGCCTGGCATCCGGTTTTTTGGCTTCCGCAGCAACACCGATCAGAAGCCTATCGAAAGGACATGGATTCCTGACCCGCAAACTTCGATTTTTCGCCTGTGACTCTATAGAGCCGTAGACAGGAAGGGCCAACAAAACCGGGGTAAGCTCCTCCAGAACTCATAGGATCCTGGACTTTGTAATCCCCAAAAGCAATGAGACAGAGCCTTACGGGAAGCATTCCTGTATCAAACTGCCCAGCAAGATGAGCCCTTTCGAAGGACCCACTCAATTGGAACCGGCAAGGTTTTTTTTCTAACGGAATCTTCTTGTGGCCAGGTGTCCGGCAAGTCGATCTTGGCGTTCTCGTACTCCACGACGACCGAGGCGTCCGTGACTCGATAGGCGTAGGTGCCGATCTCCGAGCCGTCAACGCCCTACAGAAGGATCACTTCGTGGAGTGGCAGCATGATACCCCTCAAGTGCTGTCTTAGCATTGGGTCTCAATTCAGGGGCGCTGTGGCAAGAAATGGTTGTGGGACCAGTCGAGGTTCGAGGCTCCGTAGATGTCGTTCAATAAGTTATCAGCTTTGTTAGGAGCCTCTTTTCGAAGCTTGTGATGCTCGTCCATTCCGGTGACTTCGCGCCTGAGGTGTAGTGTAGACCATCACACATTCACCCGATACGCAAAGGGTGTATCGACCTTGGGAACCTGCTCCGAAGCCTGCTGCTGCAGGCTGCACAAGCATGTGCGGGCAAACAAGATGAAAAAGTAGAGATAAGAAAACGGTCCCTGAACAACTGCGAAGGTGCGCTTCCCTCCTACATTGATGCAGGCATTGACCCAAACAGCAGAGCCGCACGAGTATGCTAGATCGAACTTTCAAGTGACCTGTGCAGACAGAACCACCACAAACAAAGACCCTCTCAAACACATGATCACGGTTGGAAGCCACAGGGAAATAGCCAAACTGAGACTATCATCTCAGGTGTTTGTCTTGGGTAGGAAGGGGTATTTAGAAAGTTATAATTATAAGCCTAAGATCCATAAGCACGGGCAACAACACAACTTCAAGAACACCGGTTCAAGGCAGCATCCCACGTGCCCCGTCAAAAAGCTTCCTTAGCACACCTTCGTGATGAGCTTGAGAAGCAAGCCATCCTCCTCGTTCCCAGTCGCGTTCAAGGGCGACATCTCGGCCTCCTTTCCCCCACACGAGGCTCGGGATCACAGGGAGTCTGGTCCGCATGTTGAACGAGTTTGAGGGATCAGTGCATCTCACAGATTAAGAAAATCTCCCAGGAGCTGCGTTTTCTGAATCTCCTCCAGCATCTTGAAGACTCGGTTCGCAGCACGCGCCTAACTCAGAGGAGCGGAGTGTCGCACCGACAACAGGGAGTCTTGTCTGGTGGTTCTTGTTTGGAGAATTCCTACAAAGGGAGAATTTGTATACCCATCCTTTGCCAAAGCCCCAGGTGCACTCTGCTTGCTAGACTTCCCGGCGTCTCCCGGTACGAGTAATGCCTTCTTGCTGATCCTGAATGAAATCGTTAGTGCAGAACAAAAATACCACACTATAATCTGCAGCTAGCTTGTTCTTGTCCGCCCCGCTGGCCTCGAGCTGAGTCGGATATTCAACGAGAACTTAAGTCGAGGGCTGAAGCTGGCGAAGCCATGCTAAACCCAAACACCCTTGCCCTGCCCCCCCTTTTCTGCGAGAAGTTGAGATTGTAATTCTAAATGGAGTCACCGTTCCGAAGGCTAAGGGGCGAAGACTGTGAGCATCACCTCCCACTCAACTTACATAAAACATGTACCAGGTACCAAGCATCCCTCGAGCCCCAACAATACATCCGCGAGGTTCATGTCAACTTGAGATCATTCAGCGAACCCCCTGAAGCACCCATGAAGCGCTTGAAAAGGGCGTGCTCCAGTCGTGCATCGTTTCAGTGAATACGGATGGGCGCGGGATGCATTTTCAGACTGAGTTCTAAGCAAACGGAAGAGAATCGGAACGAGAATGCGCAGGGGCCTTCCGCATCTGCACTGCTTGCACCTCCTGTGTGGCTTCAGCAGCCAACATGTCGACGCTTCCTCGCCGCAGTGAAGGAGCTCTCAGGGACTTAGAATCTGCTGGGTGCCAAACGCAAGTTGTGCTTTTAGGCGTGATGCTTTACAGTGCATGCCGCTTGCACGGGATCAGTATTGGCAACAAGTCCAAGCTGTTGAGATTCTAAGTGCTTTTCCGAGCATGAACCTTCGGGGGGGACATGCGCGGACGCAGCACTGGCTTCCTTACATCCGTGGCACACCGGCTCGTGGGCAGATTTGCAACCCTAAGCTGTCCTCAACTGTCTTAGGCAGAAAACTCACTCGATGACAACATGCGGTGTTTTTCCGAGTTTGTAAAATTCAACGTCCCCGAAGTTGTATTGCACGGCTCTTGCCTGCAGTGAACGTCAAGGTCGTGAGGGTCGTGCTTGAAGAAGTCGAGCTTCGAGAGGTGGTGCTCGTGGATGATGTTGATGTAGAAGTTGTGCTTGTGGAAGAGGTGCTGCTGGAGCTGGTGGATGTAGTCGTGGATGAAGTTGACGTGGAGCTGCTGGACGACGATGAGGTGGAGCTGGTAGTCGTAGTTGATGAGGAGGTAGATGTGCTGCTGGTCGAGGTGGTGGTGATGCTCGTGGATGAAGTGGATGTGCTAGTTGTGCTGGAGGCTGTAGAGCTTGTACTTGTGAATGAACTTGTTGACGAGCTGCTGGATGATGATGTGGTGGAGCTGCTTGTTGTGCTCGTGGAAGAAGTAGATGTACTCGATGTGCTGGTGGATGAGGTGGATGTAGAAGTTGTGCTTGTAGAGGTGGCGCTGCTGAAGCTGCTCGTTGTGCTCGTGGAAGATGTGGATGTGCTCGATGTGCTGGTGGAGGAGGTGGATGTAGAAGTTGTGCTTGTAGAAGATGTGCTGCTGGAGCTGCTCGTTGTGCTCGTGGATGAAGTAGATGTACTCGATGTGCTGGTGGATGAGGTTGATGTAGAAGTTGTGCTCGAAGAGGAGGTGCTGCTGGAGCTGCTCGTTGTACTTGTGGAAGAAGTGGATGTAGTCGTTGTACTGCTGGATGAAGTTGATGAGGAAGTTGTGCTAGTTGAAGATGTGCTGGTTGAGCTACTGCTCGTACTCGTGGAAGAAGTAGATGTACTCGATGTGCTGGTGGATGAGGTTGATGTAGAAGTTGTGCTCGAGGAGGAGGTGCTGCTGGAGCTGCTCGTTGTAGTTGTGGATGACGTGGAAGTTGTGCTTGTAGAAGATGTGCTGCTGGAGCTACTTGTCGTGCTCGTGGAAGAGGTGGATGTCGTTGTTGTGCTGGTGGAAGACGTGCTTGTAGATGTGGTGCTTGTGGATGAGGTGGATGTAGAAGTTGTGCTTGTGGAGGTGGTGCTGCTGGAGCTGCTCGTTGTACTTGTGGAAGAAGTGGATGTACTCGATGTGCTAGTTGTTGATGTTGATGTAGACGTTGTGCTTGAAGAGGTCGTGCTGCTGGAGCTGCTGGATGTAGTCGTGGATAGAGTTGCCGTGGAAGTGCTGGACGACGATGAGGTGGAACTGCTCGTCGTGCTGGTGGATGATGTTGACGTTGATGTTGTGCTTGTCGAGCTGGACGTGCTCACAGAAGATGTGCTACTGGAGCTGCTAGTTTTGCTCGTTGAAGAGGTGGTTGCACTCGTTGTGCTGGTGGATGAGGTTGATGACGAAGTCGTGCTTGTGGATGTTGTGCTTGTTGAGCTGCTGGAAGTGAGCGTGGTTGATGTTGATGTAGAACTACTAGATGTCAGTGACGAGCTCGTGGATGAAGTCAAGGTATCGGATGTGCTTGACGAAGACGAGCTAGACGTACTGCTTGACGTCGCTGTTGTCGCGGTGCTGGAAGTTCTTGTAGATGATGTTGATGTAGATGTCGCGCTTGTCGTGCTCGATGAAGTCGCAGTCACGCTACTCGAGGTGGATGTCGTGAATGTCCTGGTAGACGAGGTTGTGGTGGTGGGCGGAACGCCGAAATCGATATCCGGTAAGTTGTCTCCCATCTCGCCCGAGTTGATGCCGACGTGCGCCGTGTCGCCCAAGCCGTTCATTCCAAAGTCACCTGCATTGTGAGTCGTTGGAAGGCTAGGGCTTAAGGGGTTGAGAAAATCTTACCGGTACGTTCGCGCGCCTCGTCCCCAGCATTTGACTGCGTTGTCGTTCAACAAAGCACAGACGTTGTACTCACCTGCGGAGACCTGGTGCACCGTCTTGCCAGTGCCCACGTCGACAGGCGGAAGATAGTCTCCCATTTCATTCGGCTCATCACCAACCGTTGCGACAGTTCCACCCAAAACACCATAGGTCGCGACATCATCTCCCCAGCATTTCAGCGTGTCATCGTTCAAAAGGGCACACACATGGTAACGGCCGGCAGTGATGTGCTTGGCTGTCTTTCCAGTGCCCAGATCCACGACCGGAGCATCTGTGCTGGCCCGGTTCTGTGTGTCTCCATAGCCCAGGACACCCTTGGAGTCGGAACCACGTCCGAAGCACTTCACGGTGCTATCATCGAGTAGGACACATGTGGCATACTCTGCAAGCGCCATTTGGGTCACCGTGCGACCTGATCCCACATCGATGGTATCGAAGCCAAGGCGCGCCTGGCCATTCTTGCCGAGCATGCCATTGTCTGGGCGGCCCCAGCATTTGGCCGAACCATCCGTCAGGATGGCACAAGAATGCCAAAAGGATGCGAAAACATCAGTGGCTGTGGTTCCTAAGTTCACTTCTGGCAAATGGTCTCCGATGTACTCGGGAGCATGTCCCATCATGTGCGGGGAAAGGCCGTTGCCGATGCGCTCGTAGTGGCCTCTTCCCATGCACTTCACGGCACCGTTGTCGAGGACCATGCATGTCCATGTGTCTCCACATGCCACCTTCGAAACCGTACGCCCTGAACCCACATCCACTGCAGGAAGGTTTTCACCCATCTCACCTGCTGCATCACCACGGTTCAGTTGGTCTCCTTGTCCCGTTTGGCCCTCCGATCCAAGGCCCCAGCACTTGAGAGTGCTGTCATCCAGCACCGCGCAGGCGTGGTGCTCGCCTGTGCACACGTGTGTCGGCGTTCCCCCCAGGTCAATCACCGGGGCGACTGCGATCATGCTGCTTGAGCTGTCTCCTCTGTTGTCTGTATCGCCCAAGCCGAGCTGCCCGTGACTGTTGTACCCCCAGCACTTGAGCTCGGAGCCTTGCATCAAAACGCACCCCGAGCTCGTCGCGGCACTGCGGACCATCAGCTCCTGCGGCACGTATACCGCAGAAGCAGGAGTCTGCAAGAAAATCAGCCATAGTAGGGCTGAGCGTTCGATTGGGACGGCCATGGAGGATACGGAAAAACCCGCCGTCTTGTCAAGGAATTCTCTTCGAGACAAAATGCTGCAGGGCAGGGCTTGAACCTTCTTCGGTTTGGCCTTGGTCTCGTCACAGTTCGCAGAGATTTGAGGAGAGCATGCGCTGGCCACAGTTCCAAAGTTCCAAACCCGAACGATTCGAACACGGATCAATCAACAAGGCTACCTGTATGTTTTATCTATGAAGATGCAGGAACGTATCGCTAACACTGTATCCTCCTACTGTACTCGCTGACTCCAGGTAAGGAGAGACGGCTGGCACGACCAAGAGCGGCATTGATCTGCAAGACCGCCGTAAACCACATCAACCCAATGCTGTTTTTCGGCCTGCCACAGACTCTACTGACGCGAACTTCGAGGTCTGCTGCACAGTCGTTGCGACTGACACAGGAGTGGAGCTCAGAAGGATTTACTGCGGGTTTGTCTCGCTCGATGCCCCTTATATGTCCCAACAGGGCGGCCAGAACACGAACAGAGTTGTGTTGGGGAACACAGCGATTGAAGGTCCTGAGGTGTGGGTTGCAGACCCATAACCCCGACAGCCCGGATGCCCACGTGCAAACTCTGGAGTCTTGTGCTGCCGATCTTTTCCCACGATGCCGAACTCGCGACTGGCTTGCCACGTCGTGCAGAAAGTACGACCTTGCCAGTGAGCTTCAATCCAGCGAACAATTTGCGACAAGTTGCGCAGCAATGGCAACCCGTGTACAGTTTAAACGTGCTTCTGCTCTTGCGCCCGTTTTGGGCCGTCGTCGGTCGGTCGTCCGTCGTCGTCGCCGGCATCGAAATGCCAACACCATGCACTTTAAAGCCCTGAAGCTGCGAACCCCGCAAAAACTGCGAACCTCGAACAACAGATCGTTGACATCTTCACCCTCACTAGCAAGCCTTTGTGGGAAGTGTCGAGGAGCGGCAGAGAGGAGAGGTGCCTGCGGCACTTAGAGGGAGTCCGTATTCGTGATGCGGTATCACGAAGCAGTGAGTCTATACATGTTATATGTGTGTGTATACATCTACACACTTATACACATACGTACATACATATAAACATACCTACATCTACGCCTTTACACATTCATACACGTGCGTATCTACAATACGTGATTAGTCTGCGACAGGGCTTCCAGAGCTGCCTTGCATTCCCCCACGATCTTTTCAGTCTCTCTGATGCGATCCTGACGACAATCACAGTTGCAATCCTGACTGCTGTCGGCAGTTCCCAAGCCCTGTTGTTGTCAAGTTGCTACAAAGCCTGTCCCCTGTGTTCCCATAATCCTCGCCAAGCTTTCGCCGTGAACCGAACTTGGTTTCCTCAACCACCCACACATCCCAGTCATTAAGATGCTTAAACGGTTTGCATAACCCTGCCACAACAAAAAGCCGCAAGGCCACGTCTGAATTACCCTTCCAGCTTTCAAGGTCCGTAAAAGTCTGACGAGAATAACTTCCCAGGACAGCCCGCGAGAACCAAAGTCTCCTCGGGCTCCGGCCTCCAAACGCCCCCGAACGTAACCGGCAGGCGCAGCCTGCAAAACACACCTAAAATGATCATGGGCACATCCATCCAAATCAGTGGTCGGAGGTATTTTCAATTGATGGTTCTGTCAAGCCGTTTAGTATGTCATAGAAGCCCGTGTCCCTTCAACCCGAACCCAAAAGGAAGATCAACTTCCACGACAACACGCCGAAGCATCAGTTCTCAACACGAAGCCTCGAAAGGGTCGCAATAAAATCTTGTCTCATACTCAACTCGGACCTATGATCACCGGGAACCTCCTTAACTCCGTATACATAAAGCGCATGCTGATAATAATGGCCATACCAGCCGTCTAAACGTGGACACAAGTGCCGCCGCGCAAACACTAGTGATAGCACCGCGCTTGGACCGATTGGCTCAAATTCGATTGCGGCATGCAGTAAGCATTTGCATACGGCGCTAAAGAGCTGAGCCGCCTCACGCGCTGCTGAAACCCCGCTGTGCAAAACGCACATGCATTTGATGCCGATTGTGCTTTGTTTGCCCTTTTTACTGCTCAGGATGCATTCAGCTGGTCAGCTGTGTGGTTTCTGCTAACGATGTCCACGTCCCTTTAGGGTACTGTACCATGTGCACATCTTGTTGCCCTGGATTTACACAAGGCAGATGTCAATGCCTTCAACCAGAACAATGACAATAGTGCAACACATAAATGTGAAAGGAAATTGCTATACGAAAATGGGACGCACAGTGGCAGTACTGAGTTCGCACAATAACGCCTGCCTTGCCCCCTGACAGACTGAAGGCACCTGTTGTGATGAGAAACATCAGAAGCATTGTCCGTACATCCAGCTTACCGGCTTTTGGAATATTTCTGCAATGCATTAGAGGTCGTCGGAGAAGGACTCTTGCTGACAGCGTCGGAGCGAACATCGTCACCCCAGTGTTCCTGTAAACCCCTCTCACAAAACCGTGTAACCCCCCTATAGACCTCGTCTAAACCCTGTAGACCCCTGCCAAGATCGAAAGATCATGAAAAGGTTCAAGCCTGCTGTGGATCTGTACTGCCGACTTTGGGGCTGAGTTTCTGGCTCATGGGCTTCGTGTAGACTTCGGTTTACGGGTAGACCCTGCGCGCTCTGAAACAATGACTAGAGGCTCGGCTGATCGGTTTCGGATGTGGGGTTTAACAACTCCGGGCCCCAAACCCATGCAAGTTCCACGTGCCTACGGCTCCCCGGTACCGCAAAGCCCAAGGCCTAGCCCAAAGCCTAAACCTGACTCACTAGCCTACCGCCCGTCAAATCCTAACACCCGGAACTCTAAACCCTGAAGCTTAGACCCCCAAAGCCGAAAGCCAACATCCACAAGTGGCCCACAAGGTCAGATGCCCTCTTTGTGGTAGTACACCGGCCCCCACCTCGGAAACTGCTCTACATATAAAAAAAGGTTAGAGCTCACAGAGATCATTCCGGGTTGAACGTGGGTTTGGGATTCTGGGATTGGAATCTATGTGCATGCAAGCCCTCTGGCTTGTAGACCGACAACGCGAAACTCCAAACACAAGATCTTAAGCTCTGAACTCCACGAAGAATCCGGAAGCTGACATCCAACCAAAAGCGAGGGAGGTTCCGGATCCAAAGCAGCTTCACCCCCAATCTTAAGCATCTTTGATAAACTCCCCAGACCGCGGACTAAATCATGACCTCCTGGAAAACCCGTGGTTCAACACCCTACATCTCCCATAGAGAACCCAAGGCATCATGCGGCTACACACAAAAAACACTCTAAACTCTAAGCTCAGATGAAGTCAGGGTTTGTCAAGAGTTTCGGGCTGAGGTTCTGTTTCAACTTCGTGTTCAGGGTTCAGGGTGTCGCAGGGGATTTAAGTGCAGGAGCCGATTTGCAGATAAATCTTCAAACCTTTGGCAACCTAGCTTAGGAGATTTCTTCGGTTGGGGTTCTAGGCTATGAGGAGTTTCAGAGGTTCGGCTTAAGGTCTGCAGTGCCCTGGCAGCAGTTTTAAGGTTTAGGAATTTTGAGTGCGGGATCGGATTTAGAGCTCTCGAAGGTGAACGGTAGCTAAGGAAGCAGCCTCCTTACCCAGTACCCAGACAATCGGGATGGAGTGTTGGAGTATGTCGAAACCGCATCGCAAGGTACATGGACTGCTGGCGTAAGCCTCAACCGTATGAAAGGAGCAGGGCTGCAAAAGAGGGGGTCTTGCTTTGGTGAGGTTCACTTCGGATTTGAAGGGTTTGAAGTCTACCTGACCTGAGCGTCGAGGCCTCCATGTTGGTGGCGGTTTTTCGAAGACATCATGCCTGAGTCGACGACTAGAATCTGGGGAGGGGGAAAGAAAGAAACTCAAGACAGGAGGTGGTTGAAGGTTGGAGACGGTGGCGAGATTTCGGTAATGTATGCAAAGCTTCGATGACCTTCATCGTACACGTTCGATGAATGCGGGAGTCGGGGCATAGGATTTGTTAACAAAGCTTTATATCGGTGTGGGAGTGTTCAAGCATGCGAAGACCCTTCATGCAGACCGGCCGTCCTCTACGGCACAGTTTTGACTTCGCCTAAGCACCTCGCTGCTAGAAGCACTTTCGGGATTTCTCACAGGTTTAAGAGACCGCCATGTATGCAGTCTTTTGCAATCGCTGGGAAAACCAAACGAAACTCAAAAGCTGCAGCACCAGAACAGCCAGTTGGAAAACCTTAGCCCGAAGCCTCGCCAACTCTGATCAGCTCAACTCGCATTCTCTTCTACAATTAACAACCTAGTCAAAGTCTTCAAACCCGTGCAGTGCCACGTGAAACCATGCAGCTCGCTACCTGCGTGAGGTCTACGTCTACGTAAGTCAGGCCTACCGAAGAAATTGACTATTGAACTCAGAAGCCACCATCAAAACATCGCGATAACGAGGGCTGGAGTCTGGAGACTGTAGACGCATCCAACAGCGTGTTAGTATCTATCACCACTGCCGTTGCGGGCATCAAGTCTTAATGGCGTCATCAGAACTGTTGCTCACATAATGATAAGGCGAGAAAACGGTTTATGGTCATGTTTCCGTTGCTCCCTAAACCCTTACATCCCCAGGTCCAACCCCTTAAACCTTAAACCCCGAGCCGAACCCTAGGCAGATAAAGAGTCCCGAATTTAGCACTTCCAAGGCACGAATCCCCCCGAGCTAGTGAGGCTCCGAGCCCTGAGCCTTGAGCCAAAGGTACGGGAAGAAATCAGCAGATGCTTGGGCAGGCAATGGGCGGGTGGTCCTCAGGCCCTTGGCTGAAGTGATGTGCTCTGCTCGTAAACAGTTTCCATCCCCGACAGGAAACATTCTTTTTCCTGCGTCGGGACTCAAGGCTTAAAAAGCAGTTTCGGGTCTGCAACCTCAGAAGGAAGCAGGTTCAGCAAGGGTGGTTGTGAGGCTTTCACTCCAGCATGGAGGCTTGAGAAGTGGCGCGAACCACCTCGCCCCCAAACGAATGGGAAACAGGATTGTGAGAAATGCCTCACACCATCAGGCTGACCTAAACTTAAATGTCCCAAAATTGTTCCTCCTGCTTAGGGGACGCGATGCCTCGGCGGCATCACCTTGCATTCTCTCATCGGGCGGCCAAACGTTGTCCACTTGGCAATCGGCCCGTTATGCTGGAGCCCGTCATACCCGGTAAACAGCTCGGCGATGACACCGTCTTTGTGGGCCACGGTGAAGTGGTGCCCATCGAAGGCCCCAAATCGGTAATTGCCAATCTGCACGAAGCGGTCACCAAAGCTTACACCCCTCGGAGGTCCAACCGGACGAGCCCAGATATCCCTCCCTCGGTGATGATGCCTTGCTCCAACGTTTGCTCCAGGCACCAACCCCCTATTGTGATTCCAGAACTGTATGACATCGAAGTGCCTATGAGTCAGGATCACGGAGTCGTAGCCTTGCCCTTCGTCCGCGCCAAGCCGAAAATCACCGATCTGAATAAAGCGATCTCCGAACTTCAAACTCCCGGCATCGGCATGGTGAAGTTCCCTCGCCTCCTTCCACCAAGCGTTGTGAGGACGGCTTGCGTCTCCTCGAGGCAATCACGGACGGGACTTAGTAAGCACGCAGGAAGTACATAGCAAGCATGATCGTAAGAAGGGCCATCCCTAAACTCGAGTGCGTGGAACCTCGCTGAAGATTTGCTGCCAAAGACCAACACACTGCCACAGGCGTGCACACATGCGTGCACAAGAGCATTGCTGCCTGGCCCTTTTTAACCCTCCAGGACGTCCGGGCTCCCACCGATCCAGTTGAAGAGGCCGTCATCGGCTTGTCTCAAGACCCCGGTCCAGAGAACGGAGGCTAGATACTTTCAATTTCAACGGGAGGGTGGTAGGTCCTGGTATGTTTGCACAAATGCAGATCCGACCCGGAAGACCCATGGAAGCACGTTTCTGTGGGTTTCAAAAGCCCTTGTCCGCCGAGGTTGGTCTGCAATCTTCCGTCGGAGAAGAAAACCATGGACAGCACGGGAAAGCTGAGCAGAGCAGAACTGCAGAGTACCATACACTACCATCATCCTTCTCACTCCAAACACCTTGGAGACGAGGCCGGATCGATGGGAGATGGAGAGCGCCCCGGGCATGCTTTGCGAAATCCGGAAGTCACCGATCTGAAGGAATCGGTCCCCTGGCTTTCTTGCGACAAGTTCCGGGCTTTAGCACATTCGGGCTCTCGAGGCATTGCTGTGAACCTTTGTCTCTTCTGCCCACAGAAAGTTCAAAACGTTGGCCCGGACTAAACTTCATCAAGTTCCACGGACGTTTCTGTCCGTCCCATCCATGCCTGCAGTGATTCCAGGACATAGCTCCATGACGTCCTCTCGTTGACAGGGTTTCGGCTTCAAAGGTGTTAGGAGTCAATCTAAGGGCACAGTATAGGCAGGAGTTAGGACCGTCGGCTTAGGGCTTGGAAGCTCAAAGCAAGTATCCTCCAAACTGCTGCAGTGGTACTGCAATGGGCGGTAGATGATGTGGCTTGTCCATCTGTGGTAGTCCTGGTTACCCGCGTGAACTTGTCCGGATGAGGTGAAGCGGCTCACGGTGCGTTTGAGATGGCCGTCCACATGCGTCAGAAGCAGATCATCGCCCGAATCCATCTGCCCGATGCGGAAGTTGCCGATCTGTAAGACTCGATCCCCATACATGACACGTGTAGGCCCGGCACTCCCAGCACTGTCTTTATTCGCGTGGTGTCCCCACCAACCGCTCCACTTCTCCGAGGCCGCTTTGTCGTGGGTTTCTTTGCCAAGCCACACCGTCGAGTCCCATCCCCGGAAGTTCACACCGATGAACTCTGGATGGGAGATGCTCAGGTGGTCCTTGTCCCCTGCCATAATGCGGAAACTCCCAATTTGGATGAAGTCCTTGCCGAAAGTGATGCCGTAGGGGAAGCCAAGCGGCCTTCTCCAAAGTTGAGGGTCCTGTCTTGCAAGGAACACGGTGCCATCGTGCCTGTACATGTGGGCATTCATGCCGTTCCTGTGACAAATCCCGAAGTGGCCCGTGTCAAGGGCACCCAATCGCCAGTTTCCGAGCTGAAGGAACCTGTCTCCCCAACCTCCCCAGCTCGCAGTGCAGGCTCCGTGCGCCAGCTCGCCCAAGTCCGGACATGTCCAGTCAGCGAGACGTTCCCTCAGCAAGTTCTGCTGCAGGCGAAGAAAGTCTGCATGACCAACACCCGGACGGTAGGAGTTTACACCTCCATCGCCGAGGAAGAGACTGATAAAGTGCTTGCGCGGACTCATGAGGTAGAAATGATGCCCGTCCGTATCGCCCATCCGGAATTTGCCGAACTGCACGAACCTCGGGATGAAGTCGAACAACCCCAAGCCGCGAACAACAGCAGGGCTTTAACCCCAAAGCCTTAGGTTCCGGTCCCAGGCACCGGTCCCCGAATGTCAGACCGCCTGGAGGTCCTTCGGGACGGTCGAGGACGTTCCAGTCCTTAGCGGGTTCTTTTGGGAGGACGCCGGCCAGGGTTTGGGCCTGTGCGGACTGCACTCCTTGTTGCGAATGCCAGGGGCCCGCCCACTCCCAAGCTCTCCTCCCAAAACCGGAGCAGACCAAATCGAATTGCAAAGAATTAGAACGACCTGTGAAACTGACGCAAGGTGGAGGCCCAAGACGAAGCTCAAACTCAAGCATCTCTGTTGGATCAGTGAGTAGTCGCACGGCCCCACGGAGCGAGGCCCGAGGTGCACTTCGGATACGGTGGAGCTAGGACCTCAAGCATTGCAACTAAGTGCAACCCCGCTTTTCGCAACCTGCTGTTCTGCAGTATCAGAGCCCCGAAGCTTTGAACCGAGAGGCCCTCCGATGGTTGTGTCCCGGGTGCGTCACCCCGTCAGCTGTGTAGATCACGGCCGTCATCATGGTACGCCGGTGCCTGTGCTTCCAGCGCCGCAGGAGCTGCGCTTCTAATTAAACTATGTGTAGTGTTGGCCCTGCAAAGCGAAAGTAGCAAACAGAAGCCCAAGCAATGCTTTACAGCGCACGCCAATCCCAATCTTACCGGACGCTTCACAGGAAGACTCATACTTCACTCACTCAGCACGCCAAACCCAGAACATTTTTCGGACCCTCACTCCACAGCATGTACGCCAGTGTTTGTGTGGAGACGGCTTGCCGAGCCCTAGCGCATTTTTCCGGACCCGTCATGCTTCACACCCACTCGACAATATATACTTCAGTGTGCAGAATGAACACCCGTTTGACATGTGTGGAACCCGTCGGGTGTAGGGGTCTTGACAGTGAACAAGGCGCTGCTGCATGCTGAGCGGTAGCTAGCACCTAGCAGATAGTGATGGTACTGATTTGCGGCACTGATAATGTCTATGGTTTTAGGCCCTCCCGTACTGTGCAGCCACCGGAACGCAATCGAGAAGTGATGGTCGTCAACAGCCCCGATGCGGAAGTCTCCAATCTGGATAAACTGGAAGCCAAACTTGATGTTAGCGGCTCCGCCCAGAACAGGCCTCGAATCAAGCGGAGATGCCTTGAGAGATGACCCTTTAAAGGCGACACAGGCTAAGCCTCGCTCCGCCGGGTCCAGAGCCCGTGATTCCACTTGTGTGGACCGTGCTCAACATGTCCGTGCTCCGTCCAGAAGACCGGGACCAGGCCATTCTTGGTTCTGGAGCCCACAACACTTCCAACGAAGACTAGGCCATGCCACGGACGAAAAACCCTGAAACTGAGCCACTGGCCTTGTGTGCAATCACTAGACGTTCGTGGCCGTGGTGTCCATGTCCCGTCACTCCGATGCGGAACGCACCAAGCTCGATGAAGCCATCACCCATTGGGAGATTGCGGCACGTCGGCGCCGCTCCGGTCGGCCGTGGAGTCTGACGAACATTTTCCGGTGGCACGGTCGCGGGCAGGGGGCAGGGCAGAAGGCAGGGGGCTGCCCTGCCCCCTGCCCTGCCTCCTGTGCCCCCTGCCCTGCCCCCTGCCCGGAAGGGGGCGGGGGCGCCTGGCCAGCGGTCTTGCACCCGAGGTCTTGTGCACACGCCGCCAAACCTGTTGCAGTTCTTCCGGGGCATCTCCGGCCATAAAAAAAGGCACGCCTTCTTCCAAAGGAAATCGTCCAGCATCCCGATCTACTCTACTATACTGCATTCCGCACGCAGGTTATGGGTTGGTGGACGCCCCCTTGGCGTGGTGCAGAACAGTGCCTGAGTGGCTAATTTCCGCGTTGTGCCCAGAGCGGCCCTGGTCATGCCGGTGAGTTCTTGTGTCAACGGTAGCGACAACGACAAAGGGTGGCAGAATATCTTGAAAACCGGACGAAAAGGATTTTCTTTCTCAGGTGACACGGATGGGTTGCACGAGACTAGGCACCATTTCCAGCCGTCGCGCAGCCGAGCTCACCCGAAAAGAGAGATGACAAAGCAGCTCAAACTGTTACTTTCCTGTCGCTCGTGGCACAGCACCACTGCCTGTATGAACGTAGCTGTAGTAGAATTGAAAACCTCATCAACAAAGCAGCTAGAACTCCGTGGGTGGACTGAGTTGGCACGCCTCGCATGTATCGCCCCACGTGCGCGCAACGGGGGGGTCTCGTTCTCTCGGAGACCCGCACCGGAACGGTGGATACGCTGATTGACAAGTGAACGTGTTGCTCTGCCACAAAGGACGGGAGCACAAGATGAACATCCATGCGCCCCGTGCATGCATGGGTGGTTTCAGTTGGCGGCCAGATGCGGGCAGTATGCAAGGCTGGGACCTGAGGTGCTTCAAGAGATGGGCAACTTTACACCATTGAGTTGGTTCGGCACAAAGATCGACAGGTCATGCCGCAACCCCGGACCAGCCCAGGTGCAATCAACGATCCTAAATGAGGACTTGCTATGCTACACCAGATTCCAGCTGCCAGAAGCAGAGATCTTGTATGGCCATGTTGATGGAAGACACCCGGATGGGATGGCGAGGCGAATCCCCGGAGGCCTCATCACCACCTCACGCAATGTCTCCGACTGGCAACAGACACTTGATCAAAGGCACTTCGACTTAGTTCAGATTCGATGGGTTCACTCAGCGACCAAGTTGGCATTGTGGTTTCCAATAGCATTGCAGCTCGTTTCCTGTATGCAGCACCGCTGGAGAACAGTGGAGCGACGTGAAAGTTGTTCTGGAGAGAAAACTTCTCATTTCTGCTCCTCCGGCCCCCTCCCGTCCCTTCCTCCTCCTGGCCCCTCTCCTTCTTCTCCGCCAATGTAGTCAGCTTCGGTTTCTTTTCTACACCCCGCGGCGTGTCTTTGTGCTGCTAAGCGCTTTCGACTTGCTGTAACCAATTTGCATTGATCGCTGTGAGCTAAAAACCCCAAAGGCTGCACCCTGGCCTCTCTCCCCGGAGATGCTCTTCCCAGGTTGCCACGTCGGCCGAGGGCGGGTTCGCATAGCGATAAAGGCTTTCAATGCACCAAAAAGTTATCCGAGCTCCAAGAGGCGCTGTGGTTCTTGCGGGTGAAAGACCGTGCCGATGGCTTTGGCTTCGGCATGGATCGCTGGATGGAAGGTGATGGGGATTCCCGGCATGGGCCAAACCTGCCGTCGCTCATTCCATGATTCCGGCTGCAAGCCTACGAATCGTCCTTGTGCTGTCGGTCTGTGTGCTGATGCTCCCACATCCACAGGGTGGGATCCAAACAAACTCACAAAGCATCAGTTTCACCCCCGAGCTGCGTGCCAGTCCAAAGCAACAACTACTTTGCGTCCTATGCCGGCCACTGAGCCCGGGGCCACCAGCTGCGGCCCCGCGCTCAGCTTCACGGAAGCTGAAGCGCTGACCCCGACCGCCCATCCTTCCTGGCAGTCTCTGAGCATTGGGGGCCATCGTGTGGGGTCTGAAGATGCAGCGGGGCCTGGTGCTGAAGCTGCGGACTGCTCACTTCAACTCGGACATCACGGGCGTTCCCCCCACACGGTCCCTTGTGACAGTCCCTGTGGCCAGAACTTGGAAATCCGCGTCGTGCGAAGTCTCGACAGTTCCGGTGAGGGTGCCCGACACCTCCAGCGTGGCAACCATCTGCACCGCCAGAACGATACCTGAGATCAGAAGCGGCGACAGTTGTCATGTTCTCTGTGAGTTCACTTCAAGAAGTTCGGGCGAAGATGAAAAGCACAGGGAGTTCACCGCAGGCAAGACAAAGGCTGCTCGCTTTCATGCAGGTTGCAAAATCCCTTGGCACAGATTGTCTTGGTTTTGGGCTTCTTCGGCAATCCCTTTGAAGCCTTGTAGGAGCAGCTACCCTCTGCCGTGACGAGGGCATCCATCGACGCCCTCACCATACCACGGACGGTGAACGTTGTGGTCTCAGCCGTCGCGCCGAATTCAACCTCCATGACCCCCCCCCCCCATGAGTCTTGACAAACCCTACACCCCAATCGCTAGGGGCCCAGCCTCTGGGGACCACTGTATCACGCCATCCACGGCGACGCTGAGTGAACCCTCACAAGATCCTGCAGATCCTTACTCGCTGCAGGGCTCCCTCTGTGAAACCGAGGCTTGAGTCTAGGCAGCGCAGCCGAGGGGATCAGGGCTTCAGCGCGGTTCCGCAGCAAAACCTGCTTTCTGCGGCCGAAGCTCTGACAAACTCCTCTGTCTGCCTCTGGCCAGGTCCCTTTGCATGCGTCTCATGGTCCCCTGGTTCTGCCCGACAGTCTCGCGTAGCCTCAGAGCCTGGTTGTGCATTCTGTGGGCCTGCTCGAAGTCCTCTCCTGGAAGGACGCTGGCGTCGAGAGTGGTTTCCCCCGAGCTGTCTACAGAGCCCGTGACTCGGATGCCGTAAAGACGGAGCTGGCCTTGAAGATGCACTTCATTTGCACACCACCTGTAGACGGCCTCACGTAGCTTCCGCCGCTGCAATCACACTGGTCTCCAATCAGCATCTCGCACAGCGACCGACGGCCGCCGCCAGCAGTATCTTGGAGGCAGTCGAGGAAGCCCCTCAGTCGGTTCCAGGCCTCGGAGAGTTTGCAGGTGGAACACGCCCGTGCCGACTTCTGAGATCTGCGACTTTGTTCCCGCGACCGCAGCACTTGACAGTCATGAAACAAACTAGGTCTCGCCTGCCCTGGAAAGATGTGGACAATCTTGAGTGCTGTCGTCACAGAGATCTACATGGCAAAAAGTCGGACATCTCAAGCAGAAGTGCAGACGGAATTTTCGCGAGGCCGGTGTGCACATCAGCTCGCAAGCTCACAGGCACCATCAGAGAGACACGCGACAAGGCTCAAGAAAAAAACATAGGATTGTTCGATTCTCGGTGCCAGAGCGATGAACCGGCAACAGCAATATGTAATCGAGACCCAAAACGATAGTGATCCGCATCCTCTGGCTACTTAAGGAGCATGCAAACTCAAATCCTAGTAAGGTCCGAGAAACATCTCCCAAACCAGCCGCCAAAGGTCCCACCGCGTCAAGGGCCGGTCCAACGAAAGGTTGTAGGACTCCGCCCACCTGTCTGGCGAAGCCAGCGGCCCCGAACAACAATCCAAGCGCTGGAGTCGGGCACGGGACACTTCCAGCCAACACCAGAACTCTCAACAACTGCACTGCTTCTTGGGACATTGACTGTAAGGAGTGGCCTACTCACCCTGAAACGTAGAGGGAGTCCCAGCTTTGCACCTTGAGTGAAGCTAAACCCTCCCTCATGCCCAACCTGATCGACCAGTGCCAGGCCGCGGCTAGCAGCATCCTGCAGCGATTGCCGCACCTGATCCACGATGCCACCTGTCGTCCAAATCCCGAAACTCCGCCCTCCATCTCTTCGTAGGACCACGAGGCGAGGGGTGCAGCCAAGCGTCTTCCAAAGTCCATCGTGGCATCCACAACAAACTGACCCACGTCTTGGACCGCGTCAAACACGTTACCCACCTCAAGGCGTTTAGAGGGGAGGGGTCCTGTCTGCCACGTCACGATGGAAATCCGTGGCCCTTGGCCTCCAAAGCTGGACCCACCACGTCCGGTGGCAGCGTGAGGACATCGCCCACTTCCGCTAAGCTCTCCAGTGGTGATTCCAAAACGCTATTCCCGATCACGACAGCTCTGTTGGCGGCGGCTTTGCCCATCTCCAGGCCTGGGCACTCTGTGGATATCTACGGATCTACGAGAGCCAGAGCCATTTAGGGCAAGCGCCTGCATCTGCCACCACTGTGCCAGCATCTTTGACAGTGTTCGCGATGCTTTCCACGAACTTGAACGGATTCTTCTTGGCCGCCACAACGTCGAGAGACCCGTCCCTGGAAGTGTTCATGCCTTCGTCCGAGTCCACGGCGGTGGATGCGCGGGCGAGCAAGCCACTCGATACGGAGTCCGTCTGGAGGTTCAGCGCAGAGTCGTCCAACTCCTGCAACGATGCCCGTCTTCGATGTCTGCGATGCATATGCCATGTGGCAGTCGGCATGTGGCAAAATGAGTTAATATGTGCTTTTTATTTGAATGCTTGTTTGGGTTTGTAGCTTCGAAAGTGGTGAAGCGCGCCGAGGGCACCTGCGCCAGCTTCATGGCTGCAGCAGGCAGCATCGCCCTCGGAGTGGAGGCTCCAACTCACCAGCAACATCAAATTGAGCCCTTGAAGCCGCATCTGAGCCCGGCACCACACCACGGCCCAGCACGGATATAGCTTCATTGCTTCAGAAAGATGTATGGAAAGCCCACAAGGGCAAAACACCAGAAGTTACCTAGTGAGCGGGACTTGGGTGGAATCACGGCTGCCGAGAAGAGGGTTTGGGGTCTGGGGTGAAAGCCTCACAGAGAGGCCCAGGCAAATGAGCTGGAACTTCTTGATGAGAGCTCTCTTTTCCTCTCTACGCCCAGATCTAACGCGTAGGTTCAGGGTTGGAGCTTGGCAGGGCGCTCACTCCGAAGCCAGCAGGCCAATCTTCGCATCTCAGCTTCGGCGCACAAAGGTGTCATCACTTCAGCAAGCTCGGACCGCCGGAGTGTAACAGCAACGAAGCGTTCAAGCCTTTACCAATCAATGTACTAGACTGCTAGAAGCCTGCTAAGGGCCCTTCTCGACCAAACCGCATACAGTCCCACCCGAGGGTTTTCGTAAAAGCAAGGGATGGCAGGGGACTGATCTGCATTCTGACTCTTCGGGGAGCATTTTTTTCACTGGCTCCAGGAGGCGATCCCTTCTGAGAAGGATTGGGGCGAACAAGGAGAAACACCTACCATGTCCAATGCGCGGGCGATCCGTCTTCAAGAGCCTGGAATCGAGCAAAGGGCAAGCGCACATATGTCACACACTCATACTTCAATAAAGAAGCTCTTCACTTCCGTGAGCATTGACCGTGACACCTCATGCTACCTGTAGCTCGATTGCAGCTTTCTCAACTATTTAAGAAGTCATCCCTGTCCTTCTGCGAAGACCATTCAAAGCTGACATGCGCAAACCAAATACCAACACCATACAACAATGTGGACAAGAGATTTCGATCAGGTGGCGATTGCTTAATGGGCCGAAACAAGCTTGATGCGGGCATGATGTTCCCCCCTCGCATCTTCTCGAAGACACATGCTACAAAGGGGCGGGGCGTGCAATGCTTCGAAACATTGCTCCAGGACAAACAGCTTGTTGATTACGAGCGCCTACATCACCGCATTACTCCTATTCCTCCACATTAACGCAAACATCGGGAAACGGCTTCTAGGGGTGCGCAACCACCTCGTGTGGTAATCGTGGCCACTTGCCGGGTCTTGACTACCGTTCTACAATGAAACACACGAAGACTCGAATACCACTCAACAAGACTACCTGTGATTTCCTGTCCAAGTAGCTTGTAGACAAAAAAATGCTTATCTATGTAAGTTCATGTATGTATCAACACGAAGGAAAGTGTTGATTGATGCTAATCATCTACTCTGCGATGCCGCTTGCCAGGAAGAAGTGGCGCAACAGAACCAAGAGAACACGGCACTGATATGCAAGGTCTTTCCGCATAACGACTGTGAATTGAATCAATTAAAACCCGAATACCAGCTTAAGCAAGAACCTAGTGGCCTGCCTAGTGCTCTCACTTCGAAACCTGCTTTGCGGTGCTGTGGCTAACGCGCGAGCGGAGCCCAACCATAACGGCCTAAAGACATCAAACGTTGGGGAACGCAGATATTGAACTCTGAGATGTTCAAATCCCAAACTCAAAAACCCAAACCTCTTACATCCAAGTTCTGGAACCTCGTGCTGCCGAACTTTTTCCAACGATGCCGAACTCGCGAATGCCTTTCCAAGTTCCTGCAGAAGGCACGACCTGGCGCAATGGTGCTGTGTGACCTTATGCAAACTCGGCCTGCTGCTTGAGAACTTCGACACACACAAGCCCGATCAAAACCAGCCGATGATTCGTGTGCTGTTTGCTCTCCGCTTCACAACTGTTTCATTCCTTCGGCTTCTTATTGTTCGCACTGAAAAACATGGTGGGCTGAGACCTTCGAGTTTTTCCTTGTGCGTACGGCGTGTTTGCTTCTCGTTTGAAAGGCCGACTGGGACCATGTAAAAAGAACTGCGATATCACCCACCGACGCAAACCATCTTTCAGAGCGCTGGGCCAGCGGTCTCTCGAAG